CGCTCCCCGCCCCCCGCGGCCTCGCTGCGCCGCGCCGCTCCCTGCTTCCCCGGCGACACACCGACTTCTCCCTCGGCCGCACAAAAGAAACGCATCTGGTCGGCAAGTCCCGCGCGGCTCGTGCCCACCTCGGGCTCCAAATGACTTGTTTCGTTGAGAGCCAGCTCTTGTCTGGGCCGCCTCTAGGTCCCCAGCCGCTGGCAAGAACAGCCTAAGAGGAGTGAACGTTCCCGAGCGGGATCGCACCGAGCGGGCGCCTAGGAGCCTGCGCTGGGGCAGGGGCAGAGTCGGGGGCCGGTTCCGTAGCTCCCAGCGCTGTCCGTGTCCAGGGTTCGCCTTGCCCCTCCTTCCCCAGACTCTTCTCCCAGGCCTGGCCGAGTAACAGCCCCCTGCGCTCTAATGGGCCCCCGGATGCTGCCTCCTAATTAGCTTGGACACTCTTCCCTAAGGCTCTTACACTTCACTCTGCACCGCAGTCCATTTTCCGGGATTGGGATAGAAATGATGGCTTCTAATCAGACGAAACATTTCAGTTGGCTCTAGGACGCTGGCTAGTGGGGCTGAAGACCCCAAAAACCCAGCGAGGCCCATTTCCTTTTCTATCTCCCCTCTTTGTTTGGCACCTCCAATGGTCAGGCCTTGGCAGACTTGGAGTTGGCCCTGGCAACCTCTGTTCTCCTTCAGGGTAGATTTGTCCCAGCCTGGGGCCTGTGTTCTGGCTTCCCAGGGCTGCAGGAAAAGGCCTGGTAGGCCAGGTGACTGCTGTCTCACAACCTTGGGCGGGGAGCCCAGGAAGTCTTTGGTTTCTAGATTTGTCACCCACACAGTGGGTGTAAGTTGTAACCCCAGAGCTGCCCCTTCCCCAAGCAAAGACATTACCTTCCCAGCTCCTAAGATCAATCCCCTCCTTAAGTCATCCTCAAGCCCTCAAACTTCAATAAAGTTTGTAGAAGTATTTTATTCAACAATTGTTAACTGGCCCTGAGACCTCAGCATCTTGAGTAAATAGGCCACAACTGAGGTGGCCCTGACCTTCTCAAGCCATAGGGGGACCCCCAGGTTGCCTCTGCCTGTTGATCTCCCCTTGAACCAGCAACTGGAGGGGGCTTGGCAACCTAGGGGAAGCACATCACTAATCTCCTGTTTCAGGGCCCAGAGCCCATAGCTCAGGGCATCCTCATCACTTCCAGCAGCCATTGCTTGGACTGGCTGTGCAGGTGTCAATGTGATAGGGGTGAGGGACATGCAAGGTTCTGTCTTTGGCCCTCCTCCTGCCTTTTCCACCAGAGGGAAGTAGCTAGGCTCCAGGCTGTGCCCCTCAGAAAGAACTGTGGGGACAAGGGCAGACATGCAGTATTGAACCAGGCCTGCCTCTTAACTCCCTTGACCTCAGTCCAAGGCCCCTAGTTCCAAGGCTGTGAAGAGTGGGCACAGCTCCTTAGGGCCTGACCCACTTTCACTAAGTGTCCATGATTGCAAGAGGCAGCGTCTGAGGCTAAGAAGGAGGGATGCTGCTTCCCAAGGAGTTTGGTTAGGGAGGCCCAGTGACCCCTGAGTTCTTAGAAGTAGGGCCCTCTTCCCCTCATGAAATTAGCTTGGTGAGGGGAAAAGGGATATGGGGAAGCATGGTTGGCTGGTAGTTTCCCTCAACTCTACCTTGTACCTTGTACCACGTTTCTTGGTTGGATGTTGTCCATTCAAGGAGATATCCAGGTGCTGCAGTGCCCTTCACCCTCTGTCCTCTGTGACGCTGCACTACCTATGGAGCAGCCAGCCCTGAGCGCACAAGATGACTGCACATGTACTGCTGCACTGCATTTCCACGTGGGAACGCCATGTTCCCATGAACACACACCACACACCTGTGCTGTTTGCTGTGAAACTGGATGGTAGGGGATATGAGCTGTGTTGTAGGCCCACCAGAGCCAAGGAAGAACGGTGCACCTTGCATGGGACACAGAACTGCCTGGCCTATGGGGACTATGAGTTAGGACATCTACCATGGGGACTGTTTTGTGACTTTGTCCCTTAGTCTGAAGGGCATGCATTCTTCAACTCTGATGCATTTAATGCAGTTATTCAACATTTGCTGTGTGCCCCTCTGGACTCAAGCATCTGGCATTGCTCCAACAGGCACAGCAGTCGCTCCCCCCTCCCCCCTTTTTTTTCAGTTCTTGAGGCTTGCTGTGTAGATGAAAAGGCTTCCCTTTCAGGTGACCCTTTCAATACTCTCACTGGTCTGGAGTCCAAAAGAAGGACAGAGACTGTGACCCTGGGAGTCTGTTTTTCAGCAGTACTGAATGATCAGGGATGGGGAAATGACCAACAAGGCTGTGTCCCGATCCTGGGTTTACAAAAGAAGGGGACCTGGATAAGCTCTCTGCTCCTCCACAGCGGTCTCCTCCCCACCCCATCCAGTGTCCAAGTCTAGGCTGGGGCTTCTGACACACACACACACACACACACACACACACACACACACACGCATGACAGGAAGCAACATTTTTTGGAGCAAGAGGCTCTCTGTCCAGTCCCCTTCAATTTGCTGTGTGACCTTGGACATAGTTGGACCTGCACCGAGCCTTAGTTCTCATGTCCAATATGGGATTCTGACTGCTGTTTCAGTCTCCAGATCTCTTGATGATGGAATAGGAGAAGAGGGAAGGGAGCTTACCGAAGCTGGATCATGTACTCTATTCCAATATCCCTCTCCACCTGCACACAACCAGTAATATTTCTATGACTTTCAAGAAACTTGGACTATGGTCCTGAGGAGCTTGGACTGTAGTCAGAGTTAAAGTAGTCACTACAAGGACCTTTTCTGAAATTAGGCTTGCTCAAAAACAGAATCTGAGCAAAAGAATGGTTTAGAAATTTATATTGAGAAGATCGAGTGGAGGACTCTACATGAGGGGCCGTGTTATATACTCCTGTGGGTACCTTGCCCTAATCCGTGTGTCTAGAATCAAGGGATTTTAGGAAAAAGGAAGGAATGTGCCATGGCTTGCCCTCAGGGCCATCCATGACTCCCTGGGACATTCCAGCCCTAAGCCTCTTAAGGCTGTAGAGAAGTTTAAACTAGAAAACCCAGTTTTCAGAGTGTAGCAGGGACCACCTACCTCCTTCTGCCTGATCTAACACCCTCTCCCCAGTAAAAGCTCTTGTGTCTTTTCTGGTATACAAGCAATTATGGACACAGAGTTCGCAGGTGGAAATTGGATCAACCTTAGTGGATTCTTTAGGCTTCCTGCTCTCTGAAGTTTTTTTGTAGGGGGTACCTGGGATGTATGGGGAGGCTGATTCAGCAAGGCGGCTGACTGCCCGGCACAACAAAAGTATAGAACTTGGAACTCTTTGGTGGCTGGTAGAGTTCATGACTCTCCATGCCTGAGCTCACCCAAGCCCACTCCTGGAAGTTGTCTGGTTTCTTAGAATGGTTGAGCTAGGGGAAGGAGAAAGCTGGGAATGTGGTAGTGGCTTGTCACTCATTTGTGGAGCAGAGGGCCAGCTTTTTCCTGCAGCTGTTTTTTTGGGAGACAGGTACTGGAAACTGGTCTCCGAAGTTAACAAATGCTCCCTGTATCTTAGAATGGAAGCAGCGTGGTCTCCTTGTCCTAGCCTTCTTTTCCTTCTCTGGTGGAGGCAGTGAGGCCCAATACCATGGGAGAAAGTGCCTCGGCAAGGGATCTTCCCCTGGGCGCCCCGTTGCCTGTAGGGGTTGCCTTTTCCTCGGACCTGGCAGCTCCATCACAATGGACAGCAGCCTGGAGGTTTCGCTTCTGGCCCTGGTGGCTTTCAGAGGTCACGGGGATGCCAAGTGAACGCCCAAGACTTAGTTTCTCAGGAAACTGGGCTTGATTATTTTTTAGATTGGAGGGAATTCCTAAATCGAAAATCTTGGGACCAAGGATTTCAGCCAGAGATTCCCACTCCTGCTGTCAGAGCTGAGTCTCGGGGCCCTGCCTTTGCCTGGGCACTGATCGGCTTCGGTATAGGAGACTGCGTTTCAGATTTTGGACACCCGGTTCTAGAGAAATGGTTGTGTGCTCAGGGAATCTGCGTCAACAACCGAGCCCCACAGATAGCCTCGGGAACGTCTTTATTGGACTTTGTGAAGAGAGTTTGGATTTTCTCTCCGCGGAAGGAAAAGCCCGACCTGTGTCAGCGAGAGCAGGCCGCCGTGGTCTGGGGGCACCTCGGAGGGCGGCGGCGGGGCATCGGGCCGGCGCGAAGAAGCCGGGAATCTTGCTGGGTGTCTATTGCTTTTTTTGCGGCATTGCTGCCCCAACGAACGAACGAACGAATGAAACAGTTTCGTTTAGGAAAAAAACCCTCTTGACGCGAAGCTATGCCCGAAGTCCCGGGCCATTCACAGGGGCCAGAGTTCTCATCCTCGGTGGGGCCCCATCCCTGGACCGCCGCGATGGCTCGCTCCCGCAGGCCCTTGGGTCCCGCGCCGCAAGGGGCTGCGAAAGACTTCCAAAATTGTGCCATTGCAGTGCCTGCGCCCGCGTCCCAGAGGCGATTGCGCTCTGGGGGAGCCAGGGGCCGGGGCGCAAGGTGGGCGCAGAGGTTAGGCGAGTTAGCACCCGGTGACCGCGTGCTCAGGGCAAAGGAACCAGTTCCTCGCGCTGCCTCGATGGAGCCTTCGCGGGCCGTGCTCTGTCCGGCTCCGCTGGCTGGACCCACGCGCGCCGAAGCCAACAGCGCTATCTGGCCTCCTCCCTGCGCCCCACTACCGCCGAGACCCCGCGCCCTAGCCTGGAGTCTCTTTCCTTACCTGCGTGTGCGGCTCGTAGGCTCCGGGCTCGCCCAGCGGACTCTGAGTCGGTTTCCGCCGTTGCTGGCTCTGCGCGCTGTTTGGGTCCCAGCTGGTTCGTTACATCCCAGCGCGCAAGGTCGGGGCTGCCACGGTTCCACCCGCGCCTGCCGCCGCCGCCCCGCCGCCCGTCGCTCGCGGGGAAGGCGGGGACACTGGCTCCGGGAGGCGGGAATGGGGGTAAGAGGGTGGGAGAGAGGAGCTCTCCTGGACCGGCGGGGAGGGGCCAGCGTGGACTCCCACGAGCGTGGGGTCTGAGCCTTTCTGCCCGCGCAGGAGAGGTACGCAGAAGTCCCAGCCGGAGTCCACGGAGGTCTCCAAGGACCGCGTGCACAGGGAGGGGCCCAGACGCCGGCAGACGAAGCCGCT